AGGGACCTTCAGGGATCCCGGCGGTCTCAGTGATAAGGGCACACCAGCTGGGGAGACAGGCCCAGCACCTGGGCAGTCAGAGCCCCCAGACCTTGTGCCAGGGCCTCCCGCCCTCACCCTGTCCCCAGGGACTCAGAGACCGGGCCCTCCTCCTCCGCCTGTTTGTGGAACTCAACCCCCCTTACTTCTTCCGCTCTGACACGGTCTGCGCCACCAGCTCATAGATCTGGGCCTCTTGGTCCCAGGTGAAAATGACGTAGAAGGCTTTGTGATCTGTGAGGGGATAGAGGCGGCTCAGAGCCAGGCAGCCCTCACGGACCCCGGTGCCCTCCTCCCAGCCTTCCCTCTCATGATCCCACATCGACCCAGGCAGCCCCTCTCCACCACCCTGGCCCCGGGGCAGCTTCTTGGCAACATGTTGGCAAATCCCTTGTCACTGGGCTCCCGGCTCCCACTCCTGCACCCCTACAGCCCCCAAGCGCCGTCAGGTGTCTTCAAAATGGCAGGCAGAGCTGGCCAGCCCTGTGCAAACCTGGGGCAGTGTCCCAGCTCACTTGGTAAAACCCACAACATGGCAGGGCCCTGCCCAGTTCTCGGGCTCCCTCCCACAGCCGGACTCGAGCCTGCCACTGCTCAACCTCTGCTGTGGCCTCCCCTTCCCCAGAATGCGAGATCCCCGGCACTTTGGAGGGTTCCCTGCCCACTCCCTAGGGCCTAGGCAGCCATGCCTTGCGCCCGGGGCCAGGCCTCACCGGTGGCCACCTCCCGGGTCATGGCGGAGGTGAGCCGCAGCACCGGACGCAGCATGGTCTTGCCGTCGGGTGTGGGGGTCAGCGTCCGGCTGTGCGACTTGAGCAGCAGCCGCTCGTCCTGGCGCTGGAGCAGCAGCAGCAGGTCGTCCAGCAGCAGCACGTGGACCTCTGCAGGGGCACGGCCCTGCTCAGCACCCCGGCCTGAGCACCCCCCCCCCCCGAGGCCCGGCTCGCCACCCGGGGGCTCACCCACAGCCTTGTCCTTTGTCACCCGCCATGTCAGTGGGCCCTCGTGCACCAGCTTCTTCTTGGTGATGTCCAGGTTCTGGAGGCGGGAAGGAGTGACGGTCAGTGCAAGACAGGGCGGGGTAGGGGTGGGTGGAGATGACCATGGGGCTGGGTATCAAGTCGGTCAGGACGGTGCTGGGGGAAGGGGGAGGGGTCAGCGTGGATGGGCCTCTCTGGATCCTGGGACCATTGGAGAAGGCCTGGCAGCAGGGCCAGGCCGAGGGAGAGGGCGAGGCAGGCAGGGTCACCTTGAACTCGCTCAGCATGGGGTCACTGCTCTGCCGCAGGTGGGACAAGTCCAGGCGCCTCTGATAGTCCTTGAGCCGCTGGAGCAGGAGCAGTGTCATAAGTACAAGCCAAAGGCTGGGGCCATCCCACCGTGTCCCCAGGGAGACAAGCCCAGGGTGAGGCCTGACCTCCAGTAACCCTAAAAGGGAGGAGCTGAGGGTTACTCAGCAGAAGTGGCCCCGCGATGGGCAGAGCCGGGCTCACCAGTAGGTCCTCCATGTCCCGCACGGCCTGGTTGACGTGGTGCAGAATCTCTCGGCAGCACTCGGCCGCCAGCTCCACCTTCTCCCGTTCCGCAGGCTCCTCTGTGGGCGAGGGAGGGACCAGCCCTGGTGAGCTCCAAGCCTGGACACCGCTGGTCCCTGGCCAGGGTGGGAGACGGGAGAGCGGGCCCAGCAGGTGGGCGGGGCCATACCTGTGTTCTGCGCGATGCTTTGCAGGGAGCAGGGGGTACTTGGTCAGCCGCTGCATCTCCGTGGGGATCATGTCCTTCAGCTGCAGGCGGCGGCACCGCGGGCGGCTCTCGGCCTCCTAAGGGGACAGCAGCGCTGAGGTGGCCCACGCTTGGGCCTAGCCTCTGGGTCAGCACACCAGCCCCTCTCCCTGGACCATGACCCAGCGCCCCCCCCCCCCGCCCCCCCGCCCCGCACTGCCTGCCTCACCTGCACGAAGGCACAGAAACGAGGCTCCTTGCGCTGCTTGGCTTTAAGCTGCTTTAAGGCAAACGACTGGCGGCTGCAGAAGCGGGAGGAGATTTTCTGGAACCAGGAGCCCTCGGCACCATCGAACTATAGCGAGATTCAGGCCAGGGGGTGTCTCAGGTGGGACATGGAAGCCCAGACAGAAGGACAGAACTGGGGGCCCAGGCCTTTGGCTTCCAGGTCCCTGGCTGTAGGGGGGGGGGGGCAGGGGTGCGGGTGGAGCTGGGCTGGGCGCTCTCACCCGGGCCAGCAGCACATCTCCAATCTCCTCAATGAGGTAGCCGCTCTCCTGCCTCCGCTTCATCAGGCGATCAAGGAACAGAGCTGTGGGGGGACGGTCAGGATAGGGGGTGCTGTCAGGACCCCCAAGATTGTATATAGAGCCTGGTGGGAGCTGGCGGGGGTGGGGCTGCAGGTGTGTCTGCCTGATCCCTGGAGCCAGTGGGCTATCCCCCTGGAATTTGAGCTCCGGGGGTCGGGGCGGGGTTGATCCCAGTGCTAGACTTGGGGGTCCAGGAGAGCGGGCTAGACCCCCAAGTCTAGGCGCCAAGGCCTCAGAGGAGGAGCCCGGTGGTGGGGTGGGCAGGAGGGCGGTGGCCCTGCACTCACAATGCACCTCGATGAGCTCGTCCAGGCTGGGGAAGATGTTCTGTAGCTCCTCCAGGGGGAAGAAGCCCCCGTCGGCCATGGGCTGGTAGAAGAGGTCGTGCAGCACCCGCAGCATACGCACGTGGGCCGCCTCCGTCACCAGCAGCTCTGTGGGCAGCAGGAAGGAAGTGTGGTTGGGAGGGTGCCGGCTATGGGGGCAGTCTCAGAGGCAGGCTGGGGGGATGAGGAGAAAGGGACGGGATGGGGACAACCCTCTCTGGGTTGAAGTCATCTGCCCCTGAGATCGCCACTGAGGAGGCGCCGGCCCGCTGCCTCTCCTTTCTGGCAGTGGCAGCCAGCAGGGCGACCGACGTGCCCCAGTCTGCCTGGCACCACAGGCTTCCCAGGACATGGGGTGTTAGTGCCCAAACGGGGAAAGTCCCAGGCAAACCAGGACGGCTCGGTCGCCCCATGGCCAGCACGCTGGCAGCTGTGCTCCGTGCCCAACCGTCCAGCAAGGGAATCAGCCTCGGTCTCAGGGACCACGACTCCCTCTGCACTCAGGGTGCAGCCCAGATGCAGGGCCCACGGTGCATGCTGAGCGCCAGGCCCCGCAGCCCCTCGCTGTGTGTCTGTGCCTCTTTTTCTGGTGAGAACCTGCTATGCTTCGGATGTGGCAGCCACTAGCCCCAGGCCGCTCTTCAAGTATTAAATAAAATGAAACACAAACTTCAGTCCTCAGGTGTACTCGCCAGAGTTCAAGTGCTCAACAGCCATTGCGTGGCTGCTGGTGACCCTGGTGACGGTGCTGCACAGGCACCGATCGGCATTTCCATCATTCCAGAAAGTTCTGAGAGTACTGCTTATGTTTCGAGCATGTACTTAGGAGGATCTGTGACCTAAAAAGCACTCGCCTACGGCTTTAAAAATCCCGAATGAGGACCATCTCCAAGTAAACTTCCAAACGAGCTTCCAAAGCATCTCTTTTTGCCAAATGCCCTTTATACACACAATTCAAACCCACAGAAAAGAACAAGACAAAAATGAGACTCCCTCACTCTGCCCAGAACCAGCACGACCGATACCTTCCCCGTCTCCCCATGGACCCCCAGCGGCCGAGACCGTGTACCAGGAGCAGCTGCACTCGCTGCTCTCACTCTGCCCCACGTGTGCTAGACACTCCACGCGAACGTCTCATCCTGACAGCCCTTGAGACAGGAGCTATCAGTGCCCACGTCTCACCAACAGGGAAGCAAAGGCTACGCCAGAAATGCAACTGTACACACATCTCCTGCTCCCAGCACAGCACCGTCTGCACTACTACCGTCTTCAGAAACGTCTCCCTGCCGGCAGCACCCCTGCCGTGGAGCGGCCCTTCTACAGTTTACGTGAGAAACGGCCCGGCCTCCCGCGCTGCCTGCCGAGACCACGGCAGACAGACATCTCCCTGCACCGTCTCCTCTGCGGAGCGGGACGCGTCCCCGGGCACACGGCTGGAGAGGGCACTCACCGCTAATGACCTCCTGCCGCTTCACCTGGCCCTTGGGCAGGCTGTGCAGGGTGCCGGGGGGTACGAGCTCCCGCCAGCCGGGGGGTTCTTCTGGTTCCAGCTCCAGTCCTGACCGTCCCGGCTCCCCCTCATCTCCGGGCTCAGGGCTGTGGGACAGAGGCCTGTTCAAGGCTCGGCTTAGGGTGGCCCAGAGAGGAGACGTGACTCCTAGTGTCCACCCCGCCCTGCCTCCCCCCACTTGTCTTCAGCATCTGTCCCCCAGGTGGCCCATGCCGCAGAGCAGCCCAGATTTCTAGAAAGAACCGTCCTACCCTCTCCTGGAACCACTGCAGGCCTTCAGTGACCTCAGCATCGATACCCAGTTCTCTGTGACTCTGTCACTGACCCTCCC